GCGTAACAGCAGTGAATTTAGTACTAGCAGCAAGCCACAAGAAATGCTGCCAATACACCTTCCCCATAAAAGAATCTTCAGCATTGGTAAAACCACTGAGTGGTATTGGCTCCAGACCCAAACTTATGGCTGAATGTTGAAGTGACCGGGATATTGAAATGATAGAACATTAGAACTATGTAGCTAAATTTTACCCATTTCTGTAGTTCAGTATTGGCACTCTGATTACACAAGCTACATATATCTTCATGAAAGATATTTAAAACCTCTTATTTACATATAAATAAAAAGATAATGGATGTGCTTATAATATTATGTGGTTCTAAAACTTTTATCAGTATGAATTAATCTGGGTTTTATCATCATGTATTTGGCATGCATCATAATGGTGAAACCATAAGTCAGTCATGCAGGAAATCCTAAATTAATATACTGTACCAATAAAACCGTTATAGTATACCGCAACATGCCATAATGTATTCTTTCTACACCGCATAAAACAGGAAATCTATTTTAGTAATGTTTAAGAGATTTTTTAAATGTCGTTTTTTATTGGAAATATTTTTTGTTTCTTTCTGCTTGTGAAGCCAGGTGCCTTAATAACCATGAGTCCAACTGCAGAGGGCTCAGAGGTAGTAAAGATATCTAAAAATGACCAAAAATTAGCTTTTTTTCATCTAAAATCAGAAATTGAAAGTTTATCCCTAGCCCTACAAAGATGAGAAGCAAATTCTAAGTCCCATTAAAAAAGAAGTAATATTTCTTTTTCTGTGGTATAATGCTCCCATTTCTAGCCCTGCAGAGTCATGAGATATTGAATTTCAAACATTAGGCACCTAGTTTTGAAAATATAGGCATATAGTTTTAATATGAATCTGAGATGGCTGCCACAAACTTCATTTTCAAAAAGCCCTCATTTCCTCTCTGGTTAACAGGGCCGGCTCCAGGCACCAGCCCTACAAGCATGTGCTTGGGGCAGCACCTGGAGGGGGGGGGGGCGCTCACCCGGGAGAGTGGGCCGCGG